TAGCAAGTATCAGCATTTTCTTGTTTTTTAAAGCTGAATAATATTCCATTGTATGTATATACCACATTTAGTTTATCCATTTATCTGTTGGTGAACATTTGGGTTACTTCCACCTTTTTTGGCTATTGTGAATAATGCTGCTAACATTTAAAAATATTTGAATTTGAGTTGTTATTTAATCTTCTCAAAAGGTTAACATCCTCTTTCATTTATGATGGGCAGCATGGTCTGGTTAAGTGGGAATGCTTTGCAGTTGAACTTTTTAGATTCAAATCCTGAGTGATCCTTTCCCAGCTATTTCACTGTGAGCAAATGACGTTTTTGATGTTCGTTTTCTCAGCGGCCAAATGGGGACAGTAATGGTTCCTTACATTGTTAAGATTAAATTAGATAATACATGTAAAGTGTTTAAAATTTTGTGTAGCACATAAAAGTGCAGTGAATGTCATTATTAGGAAAAGGAGCCCATTGGGCTCAGGTACCCATTCAAAAATACTGCCGGTAGTCTCCCAATTATGTAATCATAAAAATTTGAGTTACTAAACTCATTTGATGATAAGAAGGCAAAAACCTGGATTCACTGATATCAGCCTTTTCTATGGATGAGATTGAGAGGGCAGGGATGGGAAAAAGAGATAAGGATGAATACTGGGAAAGTTGCCATTATCCTCTTCATGGAAAAGGGACCTGATATCTTAATAGTTATTTACTGTGGTTTATCCAACCAGAAAAGGATCCAGGAGAACTAGAAATTGGTTTCTGTTATTGCCATCTCTTCCCTATCTTTTTCCATGCCATCAACTTTCAAAGGCATGAAAAGTGGTGGGCAGCAACTTTAGTCAGGCAAACCAGGTTGTGCGATGGCATGGCACAGGTTTGTAAAGTCTGATCAGTTATGACTCAGTATTTTATAGTTTATTGTAAGAAGGTTGGGTGTCTAGTTTCCCCTCAAGAAAGATGTGAACTCAAAAGTGGCTTTTAGTATACTGAATGCTTTTAATTTATAAATCGAATACTTAAGTCTAGAGCAGCGGTCCCCAACCTTCTTGGCATCAGGGACTGGCTTCACGGAAGACAACTCTTCCACAGATGGGGGCGGGTGGGGGACACCACTGCCCCAGGTCAACCCCAGATCATCGGGCACGAGATTCTCACAAATAGCACCAAACCCAGATCCCCCGCATGTGCAGTCCACTGTAGAGTTCGTGCTCCTATGAGCCGTGATGCAAGTGAATCCCCCCTGGCACCCCGCCCTTGCTCACTCTGCAGCTGCCCATCTCCTGCTGCGGGGGCCTGGCTGGGTCCCAACAGGCCAGGGACCAGTATGTGGCCTGGGGGTTGGGGACCGCAGGTCTAGAGAACCAAATCCAGCCTGATCAAGAATTTTGTCTTAAATTCGATAAGCTAGCCCATATGAATAGGATACTGGATAATTGGTCCTGACCATAAGTTTCCCATACCATTGTACTATGGATGCCACAAAGTATGATGCTTCTTAATATAATTGTACTACATTCAATGATTCAAGTTTAATTCTAGTAAAATTATACTATAATAATAGTTAATATATAAAAGATTGTGTTGAACACTAAGTTTTCCTTATGTATACAAATCTTGTTGGAGTCATATTCAATACCACTATGCTACTTCACATTGTAACCACATTGTTGTAAAAATGTGCACTGACTAGGATTGTTGGAACCTTGTCTACTTCCTTTTTTTTTTATTTATCAATTTATTGGATTATATTTTTTTAGAATGGAAAAGCTAGGCTCATAAAGACTTTGTATTTGGAAGTAGCATTTTGACAATTCTGATGTTGAGGTGGGCTCTGCTGATACACACCAGCATTTGAGGCCAAGTTGAAGGCGTTTTGGGGGGTCTGGGGGAGAAAATTGCAAATGAGGTCCTGGAGCACACCCGAGAGATATGCATCAGGGAGGAACTGGGGAGGGGGCGGGCTGCCTGTTCTTGTACACTAAAGTATGGCTTGCTCTTGCACCGTACTTTGGTGTACAAGAACAGGTCAACTTGTCTACTTCCTTGGAAGGATGACTGTACCCACAGAATATAGTGAGTAGCAGAATATTTTTGTCACTATGAATTCAGTTATTTAAGGCCGTGTAGTCCAGTTATTGAAGCCCATTTGGTCTCCCTAACATTTAATCTATTAGCTTGGCAAATATTTATTGCATAAACAAAAAACAAGTAATTGATTAGAGTGATGTCTCTTTTAACCTGTTTTACATTTTGTATTCTTTTGTTGTTTTACAATAGTTTAATAATGGTTTTGAATTAACATGAATATTAAAACAATTCTAAATTCAATTTAGGCTGCCACCTTAATAACATGACCAGTCACCATCTTATTTTAAATGGCTATATTTCATATAATTTGTTATGGTTTTAATAAAATTTAATACAGGATAGACTCACAGAGACATGAGGATTTCAGTGTATAAGAACTATTAGTTGAGGAGTAGTGATGAAATTAGGAATCAAGGATGTGAAGTAGTTGGGGTGGGTGCCTTAGTAAAATTGCAAGGATGTGGAAAGATGTGTTGTTGATCATCCTCTGCCTCTTGGGTTCTTTTTTCCCCATGACACATCTCCAGAAGCTGTAGAGTAGTCATCCTGGTGAGTTTAGTAGCAGGGACTTGAGTAGTTTGGTAGTAGATGAGAAACTAGGCTTGAACATGATAAATAAAGGTTAGTAGCCTTTTTGTAGTTCTCAAAATGCTTAATTCAGATATTGAGAAAGTTTGTCCAAGTTAAGTGAGGATACTTTAGATTAATTTTTTTTTTTTTTTTTAATTTTTCAGCCAAACCAAACAGGAAGCTTACTTTTCTCTACCTAGCCAATGATGTCATTCAGAACAGCAAAAGGAAGGGGCCGGAGTTTACAAAAGATTTTGCACCAGTTATAGTGGAGGCTTTTAAGCATGTTTCAAGGTATGATAATTGTTTTTGGTATCAGGTAATCTGTTTTAAATGTACCATGTGTCCTTTTGCTAAAATTTGCCTTAAGCCATTAAAATAAAAAAACAGGGAATATATTTCTTTGAAACTTTCATTTGAAATGGCTTATCTCTAAAAGA